CCGGCCGCCCGCCGGGCCGCCACCAGGCCCACGGCGCGGTACAGGCAGGCGTGCGCCAGCCCCAGGAGCTGCGGCGACGTCTGGCCCTGGCGGCAGCGGGCACCCTGACTGAGGACACGGAAGCAGCTGGCCCGGCCGGGCGGGAAGACCCAGCGGAGGGTGAGGCTGAGCGAGAGCTGCTCTGCCTCGGGGCCCTCCTGCCACCAGAGCTGCGACGCCATCAGGCTCTGCACCTGCGGTGGGGAGGCTGCCATGCTGGCTGCATCCAGCACCTGCGGAGGGAACCACAAGACCGTCGGGGCCGAGAGCAGCAGGTGCCCACCCACTCTCCCGGCACAGGGCGGCATGGGGCAGCACCGGGGTGGATGGCTCCCAGACAGCAGCAGCGGGCACTCACCCGGACCTCCCCGAGGAGGCAAGTGAAGGACATCTCCTGCGGGCTGGGCTGGTGACGGGACACGAGCAGGGAGAGGTCTCGCAGGCTGCAGTCCTGCAGGTCCAGCTCGTAGCACCTGAGAGCGAAGGGGCAGAGCAGACACGGTGCCAGGGGCCCAGAGGTGCCCCCACCCGCCCATGGATGCAGGGTGCTGGCAGGGCACGCACCGGCTGGTCCAGCCATGGGAGCCACGGTCACAGGCAGCAAGCAGCTTGGCGAGGCTGGGTGGCGGTGCTGGGAGGAACCGGGGGTGGTGCCGGCTATTGGGCTCTGCCGAAGGTAGTAGGGTCGGGGGGGTTGAGGGGCTGAGCTCGTCCCACACCTTGCAGTAGGTGCTCACTGCAAAGAGCATGGGGGGGCAGGGTCCTCACCAGGCAGGGAGGTGACATTGCCCTCATGGCAGGTACCCGAGTCCCAGGTGGTGAGCTCCAGCGCAACTGTGAACTTATCGGGGTGTGGCCCCTCCAGCTTGTAGAGCAGAGTCAGGAAGAGCTTGGGGGGTGCCGGCATCTGCAAAGAGAAAAGGCTGATGACCCCAAATCCACCCAGAGAGAGACAGAGAGAGAGAGAGGAGAGAAAGAGAAGATGCATTGGGTTAGGTCTGCTGGGCAGCACGGGCAGAGAGCCCCGTGGCGCGCACACCACGAGGCCCCGGGGCCGCACAGCTCTGCCTGAGCCATGTGGGCCAGGCCAGCATGCTGCCAGCCCAGCGCTGAGGAGGTGGCAAGGGGGCTTTGCCCCACAACTCACCAGATGGCCACACGCTCCTCGCCAGGGGGGATGGTCCCCTGCACCCTCAGGGAGCTGCCCCCACACCAGGCATCCTGCAGGCAGCAGCTGGTGCTCAGCCTGCCCTCGCGCTCCGGGTAGAGGGGCTGGATGTCCTGTGCGCTCAG